TCCTCTACTTCCCCAATCGAGGTTAGCTAACTTGGGCCCTAGAGTCGATCCAATCGTGCCCCCCTCCTCCCATCCAACCAGAGGTATCCACTGCACCCCCTAATCCCTGGAACTCTGGAACCTGCGTATGTGGCCTTAGTTGGAAATAGGGCAAATATACTTAAAGTATGGATGTTGAGACGAGGTCATCGTGGATTCCGAGTGGGCCCCAAATCCACTGAAAGGTGTCCTCATAGGAAAGGAGAGGGGAACTTGGGACACAGAGGGACAATGCCGTGTGAAGACAGAGCAGAGAGGGGCGCCCGGGGGGCTCAGCCCATGAGGCGTCTGCCTTCGGCTCAGGTCATGATCCCACATCCGGCTCCCTGGTTGGCCAGGAAGTCTGCTTCTTCCTCTCCCCTCTGCTCCTCCTCCTGCTTGTGATGTCTGTCTGTCATAAACAGCAGAGATCACATTATAATGGTGGGATTTTAGGCAACTGACTACAAGGGGTCGTAGGAAATCTGTTTTGATCTGGGTACCTCTCACCTTTTCATCCAGGGGCCTACTCACCTCTTCTCAGGTGAAACCGTGAGGATGCCTTTCCTGGGATTCTAAGAAAGGGTTTGTCCTACACTGCCTTCACCCGAAGGTCCCCAGTTTCCTTCTTTGTAGACAACCCCGATGATCTCCATGTGAATGTTCTTCTAGAAAAAGACTTGGGGTGGGGGGAGTTAGGTAATCCTGGCTGCTCAGACAGAAAATGGCCCCAGGAAAGACTATGGGTAAATCGACTAACCTAAGGAGAAAGGGGATTATTGAATGATATTTGTTCTTATGGAAGAGCCTTCTCAGTGGATGAGGTCCCTGGCCAGCCCTGCCCTCAGCCAGGTGCCCCACACTGGGTCTAGCCACTTTTCAGGAGTCTTGTAGGAGGCTCTTTGTCTCCATCAGGCAGGGCTGGAACAGTGCCTGGGCTTGCTCACTGTCTCCCAGCTCCCTGGTTCCCTACCTCAAGCCCCTGCTGCGAGGCCCTGTTGGCTGTCAGGAGGGACTCAGCCCTCTCAGAGACTAGGCCACCCCTACCTACCCCTTCATAGCTGTGGACTGGACCCTAGACAGCCACCAAGGTGGCCTCTATTGCCTCTTCAATATGGCAGGAGAGAAAAACCTCAGACTGGATTTGGAGAAATGGAGCTGGCCTCCTGCAGTTCTGGAAGAAGGAAAATGAGAGGTCGGGTTCCTGATCAGCCAGTTCGAAGCTGAGAGGCCTTGGGCGAATTGGCTTCACCCTATGGGACTGGAGCAGAGCCCAGAAGCCCTGCGGAGGCTCCAGTGCCAGCTTCCTGGTGGCACTGGTGTGCTGCTTATGCAAGCTGTCACCACAGGCCAGGTGGATTCCCTGTATGTCTCTTTGCATGTCCTGTATATGTACCATTATTTCAAAGGAAACATGTTTAAAAATCATTTTTTAAAAAAACAGGCAGACAACCTTAGCATAAAGTGTAATCTGACTTTGACAATTAACTGTGGGGGTGGAGAGACCGAATGTGTTCTTTCCTTTCTACAATCTTTTCCAGAAAGGCTTCCTGTAATTCATGCTTCCTAGGAGAACAATAATAAGTGTGTAATATCTTTCTGCTTTGAATGACTGTAGGTAGGGGAATGTCATAATCAAGTCAAATATTTTATTCAAAACTTAGTACCTATGTGTGTTCATGAAACTACACAAATTACAGGCTTATTCTCTTCGATAAAGAAAAAAAAAATCCCCACCTCCCAAAGACTAGAATCAGATTACTTAAGACGGAATCCTTACCCTGACATTCACTAGCTGTGTGACACTTGCTAAGTGACTTTATTTCTGTGTGCCTCAGTTTCCCTAATCTGTAAAATGGGTGTTCATAGTGTCTTCCTCATGTTTGGGATAGTTCAAGTGAGTTGCTTGTTTCTATAGAGGGCTCCCAGAGTTACCTACAACGTAGTAAGTGCTCAGAAGGAGCTGGCTACTGTGCTAAGGTTTGCCATGAAGAGTAATGTAATAATGTAGGGCAAGGGTTAGGAACAGAAGGAGTTTCTCATAAGGCTCAGTTGCCCACCTATCACTGTCTGGCTGTGTCTGACCTTGGGCAAGTCATGAAACATTCTGGGGTCTGCTGTCCTCCTTTGTAAAATGAGGAGTGGACATTGGGGAGACTGTCTGCCCGCCCCTGACCTGTGCATTTTCCTGGGACCCCCTCCTAGTGCACCACTACCCTCATTGCCACTGCTGATGGGAGACCTGCCAGTTCTTTCTTTAGCCTTCCCTTGACCTCGGTTGATGGGCCCAGAAATGGGTGTCTTCCCCAGGGTGCTGGAGGGGCAACAGGCCAGGGGGCAGGTGGGCGAGATGGAGTCTGGAGTTGCCGAAGCCACATCTCACATCATGAGGAAAATGGTCACTCTACCCAGAGAAGACAGAACTGAATCCCCCATCCCTGGTTCCTGTCACCCCTGAAGCCCAAGTGAGGCCTTGTCTTCCCACGTGGGGACCATCAGATCTTCCTTAGAAGCAATCATAGTAACAATAATAGCAGGGAGCACTTACACATACATGCTATGAGCCAGGCACTGTTCTGAGAGCTGCATATGTACTAACACTTTTACTCCTCCTGACAGTATCAAGAGGTATCTTTGCCCCCTTTTACAGATGGGAAAACTGAGACACAATGAATGACCTGTGCCAGGTCACACAGCCAGGAGGTGTCAGGGCTGTCATGTACCATTCTTAAGCACACCTCATAAAGGAAATGTAAGTGAAATGGACGGAATAAGGTATTTCCTAGAAGGTCATCGCGTATGGATCCAGCTCTTCCAAATTGCTTTTCCACTCTGGTTTGCCTGTGTCCAAGTCTTTCTGCCAAAATGGTCCTCTGCATCCCCAAGAGCTCTGCTGATGCAGAATTTCCCAGAAGGCTGTTCCTCTGTTGTTCCTGGAAGTTTCCACCAAGCTTGCTTATGCCCAATCTGCATGTTTCAACAAAATGATATGTGGGCAATGATGCGTGCCACCTGGTGGCCATGACTCTGACACATCCCAACTTCAGGGGAAGTGTGTCTTGGATTCACCAAGTGAGTGTGGTTAGTGCTTGGTAAATATTTCTTGCCAGAATGGATGTGTGAATGAGTGAACGAATGAGGAACAAGCAAGTGGGGAAGTTGGTGGATTGCCCTGCACCCGAGGGGCAGCGCACCAGTGGAATTTACAGAGGGAGGAAGTGACACAAATTAGACTCCAATTATGTGGGCCATACCAGAGTTCACAGTGGGGCCGGGGGTGGGGGGCAGCTGTGCCTCCCAGGGACCACGGTGCCAGGCTGATAATAAGGACTTACAGCCAGACCCACCGACACTTGCTGTACATCATCTCCCATATGCCTCCCTAGAGAGTCTGATAGACAGCTACTCTTACCATGCCCACCCCACGGAGGAAGAAACAGAGGCCCAGACAAGGTAAGTGCCTCGCAGGTCTCTGCTGGTTGTACCCATTTGCTTCCACCGTGTGTGGCCAGCATGGAGTGGACAATCCCTCAGCCCTGTGCCCTCAACCCTGATCCGTCTGGCTGTTCAGGGGACCCCACCCCCACCCCCAGAAGCTTTAGCCAACCTCAGGCCCAGGTCCAGTGACATCAACTCTCCAGGTCAGGGGGGCAAGTGCGGATTTCATTGGTGACCCAAGCTACGACCCTTGAAATCATGTGCATCAGTTTCACAAAGTGGCTTATGCCTGAAACAGACAGACATGAATCTCACTTCCCAAAATGGAAACCGGATCTGTCTCTTGTCAGACTTGCCATTCTTAAAAAAAAAAAAAAAAAAAAAAAAAAAAAACAAAAAAAAAACTTTCTATTCCATCAATGTGAAGGTCAAAACCTATGCCCACTCCCTTCTTCAGGGTGTGACAAAGGCATGCTTCATACAGCTTGTATATGAATTTCTTGACTGTTTGTCTTTCATGTTCCACACACAAAACTAAAACAATACCCTCAAAAAAACCCCAAATAGTTATTTAGCAATGTGGATATACTGAGGCCCGCCAGGCACCTGTCTTTGCTTTAAAGTGGGCTTGGAATGTTTTCTAAGAGTGTGGATTTTATGGGAGAAAGCATGCGTGCTTGGTCAGGGAGGTGCAGAGGGCCAGGGTTGGAGGGTGGGCAGGGAGGAGAGCTGCTTGTTTTTAAAATTTGGGAATTTGGGTGTTGTCTTCACACAAGCCCATTTTAGAATTCCAAAGGTCGAGCCCTCCAAGGGACTGATTAGTACCGATCACCTTGGGGCTGTTTTTGAAAGGGATGAGTTGTTGGTAAGTGGACCCATTTCTCTCCACAAGCCTACACATGTGTGTGGCATTATTGTGCAGCCACTGTTGAAATGTGTTTAACAGATGCTCCCAGGGCTCTGCCCGCAGCGCCTGGAAGTGGCCACCCCTCCCCTAGGGGCAGCCCTTAACCTTGTCACTGAAGGCACCAGGAGCCTTATACAGATTTGGCTCCCATGCTCCCCAGTGGGGCCACTTCCACGCCTACACTATTTGCAAAATGAGCACATGACACCCCCCCACCCACTCCCCCCTTCAACAATTGTTAAGAATTTCATTCAGGCAAATATGGGCCCCTCTGAGCAACTGCCCCTGGAGCTCACCTTGAGGGATCTCACGGAAGTCACCCTCTGTGGGACCCTGATACTTCACCTATCTGACTTCCTCCTCCTCCCTCCCCGCCCCACTTCCCTCCCCTCCCCCCAGGAAAGTTAGGAACTTTCCTAAGAAAGTACTTTCAACAAAGCCTCCTTCCAGGGTCTGCCTCAGAGGGATCGACCCAGAGCAGTGAGCATGTAGCCAGGTGTTCTAGGGTTCCAGAAGCAGAGCTGAGCAGATACCCCATCCCAGCATCCCCCACCCTGGCCCACCCCCAGGGTTCTAGGGCTTCAGCACCTGCAATTTTAAAATCATGGGGATTAAAAGTATGAATTAGCCACCTGAGTAGAGTAGGTAAGTTCATTTCCATTTTGTAAGGAGAGATTTATTTTGAGAACATTTGGGATAGTTACGTGCCTTCCAGAGTCAAATCTGGAAGAAATGTGATGCTGAACTCTGTCTTAGAATGAGGCTTCATACAGCTCCCAAAGATGGTGACCTCTTCCCTCAAGGCCTGTGGGATCGCCAGGTCAGACGTGCTGGATCTTCAGGATAATAAAACAGGGATCCAGTGCTGGCAAGGGGCTCCCACAAAGTCACCCAGCCAGGCGGGTCATGCTGACATTGGGAGCCACATGTCTTGTCTCTAAGTATCTCTGGGGTCATGCTCTGTGGAGCTAAGCATGACCTCTGGGGGTCAGATCATGTTTTATCCAACTGTTTCCAAGACTCAGCAGAAAGTGGAGGAATGTTCTTGCAATTGGCTGGAAGAGAAACAGAGAAGAGAGCAACATGAGCCGCCGCTGGGGCAGAACACGAGGTCACAGTCCGTGTCATCTACTTCCTTGCACCCCTCCCCCCCACATACACCAGTAAGATGCCTGTTTCCCTAAGACTGAATTCTTAACTTCCTTCAACTTTCAATCTCTCTAGGTATCGTCTTGTTTAGTTCCTAACACATCCCTCCCCATCATTCCCATTCTATAGATAAGGAAACTGGGACATGCAGAGTTGCAGGCATTTGCCTGAAGTCATATGTGGTGGGTCAAGAATTTAAGCCCAGTTGGGGCCACCTGGCTGCTCCCAGAAGCCACTGCAAACAGCCCCCAGCGCTTCCCTGTGGAAGCTCACTGTCCTCAGGGGATCAGGCCCACTCCAAGGACCATTCCTGTCATCAGCAGGTAATAGACACGTTGGCACCAATCCCCAAGGGCTCAAGAATTTCCTGGGGGACTTGCACTAGAATATTCTGGAATCTGAAACCCAATGTTTGCCTTTCAAGGACATTCTGGGGAAATAGGCTGCTTTCAAGGGCTTTTGCTTACCGTGTGTAGATATTCAGCTTTTACAAGGGTGAGGTGGGCATTTGGGTCTTACTGGCAGAGATGCTCCCAGTCTTTGGCATCATCCACAGGCATGCATCTCACCTTGGAGAGTGTCTGAGAGCAGGGCCTGTGCCTTCCTTACACTCTCTGGTGCCATCCTCACCGCTATCATTCTCTTCTTACCCCACTGGCCTCCCTGTGGCTCCTCGAAACCAAGATCTCTCCTGCCTGGGGACTTATGCTCTTCCAGCAACTTCTGCCCATGGACACCTGTTCCCCAGGTCTTCCCAAGGCAGCTGCTTCTCCTCAAAGATCTTGGCTCAGATATGACCTTCTCATAGCCCCTCTCAACCTGGCTACTCTGCCTCATGACCCTGTTCATTGTCTTCACAACACTTATTGCAGGCTGATTTCTCTGTTGATTTATTTAGTGTCCCCCTGGGTGTGGGAACCCTGGTCCTTCACTGCGACAGCCCCAGTGCAATGCCAGACACCATGCTGATAGCCACCCATGGCTGCTGGGGAACTGAGTGCTGCGCATGTGCCTGTAGAGGAGTTGGCACTTGAGGCTATCATGTGACAGAGGGAGGGAGAGGCAGAGGGATAGACTTCAGGGAACAACAGAGGACTCATCTGCTGTTCATGGAGGCATTAAGACAAGGAATGGAAAGGAAAGTTGCAACCTAGTCTAGTGTTTGGATTTAGGTCCAGATGGTATAGAAACTTCCACCTCTGGCTACATACCAAGTTCTCGTATTTTTACTTTGATATTGAGAATTTTAAAGTTCTACCCCCAGGTAAAGCCCCACTCTCTCCTCCCACTGGTCAATTTGGTGATTCAAGCTCCCAGGACACCTGGTTGCATAAACCCCCCCCCCCCATCATTGGCCACCATCCCTCCCACTTACCAGCACTGCTGCCTTATTGAAAGTGCCTCTGGGGTCCTTTCCCAGGCTCCGCCACATTTTTGGAGTCACCTTCTGCAAAAAGACTAGGGCTCTGTCAGGGCAGTGTCCTGTGTGCTGTGGTCCTGCCTGCATTTCTGGCCCAATCTACTGCCATTCCCTCTTTGCTCACTGTACACCAGCTGCAGTGATGGCCAACTTGTTTCCAAACTCAGGATTCACACTGGCTCTTCCTCTGTGCGCTATTTCTTATTCTCTAAGCTGAGCTTAAATGTCCCCTCCTCAGTAAGCCTTCCTTGACATCTGTCTAATATCTTGTCATACTGTTCTGTATGTGACCTCAATCACCCTAATCACTATTGTTATTAAATAACTACTTGGGGCTATTAATGTTTGTATTTCCTGCTTGATATTAGCTGCATGATGGCAGAGATTGAGTCTACCATAATCACAAACGTAGTCCCAACTTCTGGCACAGAATAAAGAGTGGTGCTTGAAAAATATGTGCTATGACTTCTTAGTAAAGATATGATGAATGGAAGGAAGGATGGATGGATGGATGAAGTATGGATGGATGAATGGAAGATGGAAAGATGAATGGAAGAATGGAATATTGGAAGGATGGATGGATGGAAGGAAGGAAGAACTGGTGGATAGATGGATGGAAGGAAAGATGGATGAAAGAATGGATAGATGGAAGATTAGGAGACTGGATGGATGGATCAATGAATGACTAGATAGAAAAATAGTGTCAGCATATTTTCAGTCCCCTAAATGATAGTAGGAAGGACTCAAGCATAGCTAGTCCCGAGTTCTAACATTTAACACGAAGCCACTTCTCTTCTATGAATGCCTCTTTAGCATACCATCATCTACTTTATTTTCCAATCCTAGTTCTCATTTTGTCCCCAGTGAGACATCCCTAAGCTGATGCCTCAGTCCCAGGCTGCACCCTAGAATGGCTCCTGCTCATGTCAGGTGCCACCTGGAAGGCTGCTCAGGATGGAGGAGAGATTTTCACACCAGAAGCATCTTGGTGTGAAATGCCAAGATTTCCAATGTTGGCACCACCACATTACCTCCAAAGGGCCATCTAATGGCAGAAAGGCAACTGGGAAAAGTATGGGCATTTCTCTTCACAGCAGCTTCAGACTGTAGCTCTTAAAACAGCCAATGGAATCCTATTTTTTCTTTTTCACTCAAGAAATTCTCATCGCTCCCTTAAGTTTCCTATGCAAAGGAAGCGTGTTTCCTCTCTTACCTGGGTATTCTTTGTAAAATTTGTGTCGGAGGAATCGCCCATCTGGAAAACAGCAAGAGGATTAAACTCCTTCCAGTGAGTTCATAAGGCCAAAACTATTTCATAAGAACACCAAGGAATTATTTGTGTTTTCACTACCATCCCCTCCTCCCAAGTGCGCATGGAGTTTCTAGAAGCTGCACGATGGCGATGTCACAACCAATAGAATGCAGAAGCAGACGTGAGAATCTAATTCTCTTCACACACATATTAGAAAGAACTGCAAAAATGTAAATCAATGCCAGTCTTCTGTTTGTGTGTGTGTTGGGAAGCATAGTTACTTGTAAAGAAATGTTATTTCTGTTTAATGCATGAGTTTATCATTGTCATTCTTAAAGGAATTAACACATAAATATTTTTAATGCCTTGGCTTTAGTTTAGTCAAGTGATTACCCACAGCCCCACAAAGGAGATCTCTATGGGATTCTCAATGTTTTTCGTGTGTGAGGGGATCCCGAGGTCAAAAAGCTTAGGAACCGTTGTCTGAACAGATGAACCAGAAACAGAATTTTAACATATTATTCAGCAAGTGTGATTACAAGCTATATAATTCACATGGGGAACACATGGTACTTTCTGAGTTCTTACTGCATGTGGCAAAGTAATGAGTTTTACTAATCCTCTCTGGGCCTCAGTTTACTCACCTAAAATGGGCATAAAATTAGCACTTCCTGGGGCACCTGGGTGGCTCAGTTGGTTAAGGGGTCTGACTCTTGGTTTCAGCTCAGGTCAGTGTCTCAGGGTCCTGGGATCAAGCCCCGTGTTGTCCAGCTCTGTGCTCAGTGGGGAGTCTGCTTGAGATTCTTTCTCCCTCTCCCTCTGCCCTTCCCCCTGCTCATGTTCTCACTCTCTCTTAAATAAACAAATAAATAAATGAATATTTAAAAACTAGCACCTCATTATTGTGAGGATGAAAATAATTTCATTTGAATCATCAATATGCAAATAATAGGAGAAACCACACGAGACTGCCATTTTTGTACGTGAAAAGTGGTCAATTTTTTGGAACGTCATACACCTGCAATTACTAAGGATTCTCGCTGTCAGTTGTCATCGACCCCACCACCCCCCTGCCCCCAGCCTATCACGGCAGTGAAACATTTGTGCCTGAAGTCTGGCCAGGTCACGCAGAAGTTTCTCTGAACAACACTGCCAGGAATGAGCTCACGCCTCCATCTCGGCACATCAGCTTTGTCAACAAAGCCCATTTATGCTAATATAATGTTATATGTCAATGATGTCTCAGTTTTAAAGATCACATTTACACAATAGCTAGACATTTTGTTTCCTTTTGTTTTGTGGCCATCCTAAAAAGCATCAGGGTGCTTAGAGCCCCACTGACATTTATAGTACAAGGTGACAGAAGCCAGCAGAGCGGATCCATACCCCCAGGCTGATAACTTATCAGCAATGAGGGCCACAGCTATTTTCTGAAGCAAATGGCTGGGTTTGCTGGTGGCGATGAAGCATTCCTGAGCCTTCCTTCTCCTTGGGGATGAACACTGGGGAAGGAGACAGAGGGATATGTGGAGCTGGACATCCTCCTCACACATATATCTTTACCAAACATGATTACATTTAATTTTTACGAAATAGATTTCCCCTGCTCAAGACTGAGTGATCCTCTGTTCTGCTCATTCGGCATTAGCAATTTTGCTCTGTCAGGGGCAAGCCTGGGAGACACAAGACCCTCAGTCTCTGAGTGACCTCAAACCCATTTGGAGACATGCACTGACTCCCTGGACCCTGCTCTCCCAAGAGTCAGATTTATTGCCTGTGTCAACATTTGTTTTCCTCTTGAGAACGACATGAACCCTTCCAATGTTGGGTTCCAAGCTGATGGGCTGTAAAACCTGAAAAATCACTGGCTAGGAGCTGGCTCTCAGAGGGGACTTGCATCTTAGGTGTGGGCATGAGATCTGAAACTTATTCTCAAATAGTTCCCAAAATAAATATGCAGATTTATATGGTGAGACAGTGGGGACCGGGGAGAGGAAGAGAGAATGGTAAAGAACATATTTTAACAACTGACAGATCATCGGGGTGGAGGGTTCAAGGTACGATTCTTGCAACTTTTCCAAAGCCTGAAATTATTTCTTTAAAAAAAATTTTTTTAAAGACTATTTATTTGACAGACAGAGAGAGAGAGGGAGAGAGAGCAAGTGCACAAGCAGAAGAAGGGGCAGAGGGAGGGGGAGAAGCAGGCTCCCCACTCATGGGGATCCTGACACGGGGCTCGACCCCAGGACCCTGAGATCATGATTTGAGCTGAAGGCAGATGCTTAACCAACTGAGCCACCCAGACACCCTGAAGTCTGAAATTATTTCAAATATGTAGTTTAAAAAGATAAAACTTAAATAAAAGGCTTCTTTTTGGTTAACCTGGGATGAGTGCCCCTGTTCCTCCCTGAGGCTGTTGTCCTGAGGGAAGTTGTTGGACATCAAGGCATTTCCAAACTCCCATATAATTACCAACAATTGTTGCTCACTGGCAGCCTCTGGGAACAAGGCTAGGAGGAATTTCACTTACATTTCCAGCTGGAAGGCTCCGATCATTCCTGAGGGAGGGGAGAACACACACACACACACACACACACACACACACCACACACACTCACACACCCCATGGGCTCTGCGGCCCATGGATTGGCTCAGAACTCCCCCTCTGCTCCTCGTTAGCTGTGTATACTGTAGGCAAGTTCCTCTTCCATAAGACAGAGGATGGCGTGAAGTAGATGAACTATTATTAGCCCATTTTACAGATAAGGAAAATGAAGGCCAAGAAGGTTAGGCTACTTGCCATACGCAGCAGTGAGGAGCCAAGTGGCCACTGGATCCCAGGCCGTTTGGTGGGAGAACATGCTTATAACCCCAAACAGCAGGTGGAATGTAGGAGAAACCACAAAGATGCCTACTATGGGCAATTCTTTTTTTGAGAGAGAGAGAGAGAGCTCAAGTGGGGAAGGGGCAGAGAGAGAGAGAGAGAGAGAGATAGAGAGAATCGACGCGGGGCTCGATCTCCCCACCCAGAGATCATGACCTGAGCTGAAATCAAGAGTTGGATGCTTACCCATTGTGCCACCCAGATGCCCCCTTTTATGGGCAACTTTTTCAAAGCTCAGCATTCCAGGAGCCAGGCTTCTCGAGACAGTTCTAAGGTCTCACAATCAGGCTATTTGCAGTGATGATGATGCTAACTGCATAGCACTAAATGTGTCCTTCTTGAAACACTTCAGGAAAATACGTCGTCAAATCAAGAAAAGAAGTGCTTTGGCAGATCATGTACCCTGCCGTGTTCTTCCGGCCTCGGTGTTGACCCAGGGTGCCATCCACAGCTCTCAGGGCTGAGAGATGCAGAAGTGGGGACTGGGCCCTGAGTCTGGGCTCTCAGAGTCCCAGGGAGCTCATCTGTGACAAGACCAACCCGCATCTCCCTGAAATTCCAGATTCTTTGCTTGCCACCCATTTCTTCCAAGTCCTGTGACCTTACGCCTCGTGTGAGGCTCCAGGTATCACTAGTGGCACCTGCTCTGTGGTCCTGGCTCTCCTTGGGAAAATCGTGCAGACTGAAGCAATGCCATTCATGCCCTTTCCCGGTTGATTTAATATTTACCATTCACCTCCAGGGAAAAAAAGGAGTTAAGTCATACTGAATGCTCTTAGCAGAGACCCTGGGAAGTCAAGGGTTCTCAGACAATTTTAAAAAAAGATAGAAAGAGGCCAGCCTGGGTGGCTCAGCAGTTTAGTGCCACCTTCGGTCCAGGGCCTGATCCTGGAGTCCCAGGATCGAGTTCCACGTCAGGCTCCCTGCATGGAGCCTGCTTCTCCCTCTGCCTGTGTCTCTGCCTCTGTGTGTGTGTGTGTGTGTGTGTGTGTGTGTGTGTGTGTCTCATGAATAAATAAATCAAAATCTTAAAAAAAAAGAAAAATGGATTTAAAATATCTGATGTTTACTGAGCACCTATTATTGCTTGGCTCTGCTCTGAGGGCTTTACATGTATGATTTAAATGAATTTCCAGAACACCATACAGTGGCCTCATTTCACAGATGAGAAAATGCAGGCTCAGAGGCTTGAAGCAACTGATCCCAGCTAGGAGGTGGCAGGGCTCAAAGACCTGGGTCCCATGCAGGTGAAGCAGGGAAAGGGTGGACGACTCAAAGCGGGAGGCACAGAAGTAGGAGGACAGGAGGAGCTCTCGGCCAGGTTTGGGGAGTGCTGGTGGTTTTCTCTGGGACTGGTGTCCCTGTGGGGTGTTCTAGGGAGAGTGGGGCAGGGGCAGGGGCCAGGAGCATGGCACGGGGCCCGCACTCACCTGCCTGCCGGCGCTGCTTGACACACTGCCCGCGGTTGGGGATGCCCTCGGCCACATCACCAGGGCTCAGGATGTGGCACTCGTAGCCTGAGGGGCAGAGGAGAGGCTCCGCCCCGTCCTCCGTGGTGCTGCAGGCCTCGGCTGTGGGAGGGACACATGCCCGGGGCTTGGGTGGGAGCAGGGAACCAGAGGGTCTGCCTCCCACTGCACCCCATGTTCCAGGCTGTGCCTTGGCTTTCGCTCACAGTGGCGCGTTCATGCACATGCACATATGCACACACTTGCCAACACACAGGGACAGTCCAAAGTCACATGATCCCAAACACCCTCATGTACATAGTGACATATACACACACATGTGCACCTACACACATGCTCACGTCATGTGTGTTCATGCACAAAAGCTTGATGCATACACAGATATGTGCATGTTCACACATACAAATCCTGTGCCTGTATCCACGAATCCTGACACACACGCATGCACTCACATCTACAGCCACAGGCGTACACACACATTCATACACAAATCCTGACACAAACACATTTTTGCCACCGTGGCTCTTAATACACACACACACCTACAATCACACACGTTTGCCTGCACATAAATGCACATTCACGCAGCACAAGAACAGCTGCACACACTCACAGATGCAGGTGTGCACACAGATGTGTGCAGAGTCATGGGCAGAGTCACATATGCACAAGGGCACACACCCGTACCCTCCAGTTCTCTAGATCCCAGGGCTGCTGCCTGCTGTCCACCCACCTAGAGAAGGCCTCACTCTCAGGAAGGAGTGAACCCTTTATTATGATTTTAGGAGTTTGAAAGCCAACCCCAACCCCCTCCCTCTCAGGTTTTCCCTCCCACCCCCCACCCCTGGCAGAGGGAACGTCAAGCCCTATACTGTTCTGGGGATTCTGAGAGCCTGGCCAAGCCCCAGCCACCACCCTTTACATCGGGTGGGGAGTACTGAGTATCTGAGCACGTGACAGCAGACAGCCTGCTGGAGCAGAGGCAGCCTGAGATGGAGGGACCCTAGCTCAGATGTCAGGTTGGGCTTCATCCTGTAGGCACCTTGCAACACCTCCTCAGGGCCATCCAGAAGCCAGCCGTTGCCACCGAGCCATCGAGGTTTCGGCTGCACTAGCCAGTCTAAAACTAACAAAATAAGGAATGGTTAAATTAAGCCCCCTCAACCACCCCCCCCCCCACCGCTCCTCAGGCAGCTGAGAAACGCCCCAGTCTCTGGGAGTGTGGGAGCCTACACTTCATGAGAAACAGAGAGGCTCCCTGCCATACATTGGCCCAGACTTTCAGTAGCAGAACTTTGAGTTTCCTCCACTAGGTGGCCAAGTTGGAGACTACATTTCCCAGCCTTCCTTGCTGGTATGGCCACATGACTGAGTTCTAGCCAATGGGATGCGAGCAGAAGTGATAACATGACTTCCTGCCTTGTCCCTGCACTGATGCCTCTTTGCTCTCCACCCTCTGGCTTTCCCTCTTCCTGCAGCTGGAAACACTTTGATCATGCAGAGCAACAACATGGAAGGAACCTGGGTACCTGGATGACTGGAGTGGGGCCACCTACCTGCCATGGGCCACCGGCTACTCTGGCCTATTAAGCAACAGAGGATTAAATGCCTAATAGGTTGGGACTCCTGGCTTTATGGGTCTTTTTGTTATAGCAGCATAGCTGGCTCTGTGGACACTACGTTTTTATTTTTAATTTTTTAAAGATTTTATTTATTCATGAGAGACAGAGAGAGAGAAAGAGAGAAGCAGAGACACAGGCAGAGGGAGGAGCAGGCTCCATGCAGGGAGCCTGATGTGGGACTCGATCCCTGGACGCCAGGATCATGCCCTAGGCTGAAGGCAGGTGCTAAACCACTGAGCCACCCAGGCATCCCGCCCCTACGTTTTTAACAAGATCAATCCACATGGTAGACTGTAAAGTGTTCAAAATCCCAGAGCAGGGGTGGAGAGCCCAAATGCTTGCAGAGAGCTGGTAGGTGACATGAATAAGAAAATCCATGGCGAACTGGAGGCAGTCCCGGCCTCAGTGGGTCAGCTGCTGGTCAGCGCTGGCCAGCGATTCCCCATGTTCCTAGGGCCTATGAGTCTGTTTTTTTTTTTTTAGTCTGTGTGTTTTTTTTAAACCTTGTAGATATTATTTAAAATATAAACTCCTGGTTTTTAAATGTTGGCAATTTTTTTTTTAATTTAGGCACTTAGGGATGCCTGGGTGGCTCAGTTGGTTAAGTGTCTGATTCTTAATTTTGGCTCAGGTCATGATCTCAGGGTGGTGAGATCAAGCCCCATGTCAAGCTCCATGCTGAGTATGGAGCCTGTTTGGGATGCTCTCTTTCACTGTCCCTCTGTCCCTCCCCACACTCTGGGCACCCCCTACTCTCTCTTTCTTAAAAAAAATTTTTTTATGTATTATGGAGAGCAAATAAAACTGGTCTGGCATCACATTTATTTATGACCTCTGTTTTTGTTGCACTCCAAAATATGACAAAAAATAAAGAGGTTGATGTGCTGTCTAGGGCCTTTTAAGGTACCTAGTTGGATATTGGTAAAAATGCTGCTTAGTCTTTTCTTGAAAGGAACACAAGATGATCGTTAGTTGCTCACAGGGTGCAGACTGGAACAGAAGAGCAAACCAGTGGTTTGCAACTTCCTACTGGAGGGATGACATGAGGAGGTTCTGCAGGCATGATTTCCAGTCTTCTGCTTCTCCCCTCCTCCATCCTACCACCTCGGACCACATGATAGAAAATGTTTTCAATGCTAGTTTTTACTAAATAGGAGAAAGTATTACTATTTCCTATTTGTATGTTTTGCCTTGGTCAAAGGCTTCTGAGTAGTGGGTCAGAAGTGGGGCAGGGGCAGGGGCCAGGAGCATGGCACGGAGCATGGTACATACACAGTTTGCTGCAGCATGGCACGGAGCACGGTACATACACAGTTTGCTGCATTTTTTGAAACTGAAACTTGGTCAAGGTCTCCCATTAACTTGCAGACCCTTAAAGGCCTGGGGGCACAGGGTCTCCCCTCTCTGTGCTTCAGTAAAACTTCTTGGGACCACTTGCTAAGTGAATTTCCTGCACCCAAGTCCTTATCTCCAGGTCTGCTTCGGAGGGAACCTACCCAAAGATTGCTACAAAGTGTGTAAGATGCTTAGAACAGGGCCTGGTGCATTTCAGGTCATCTGCTCATGTTAGATCAGTGGTTCTCAAAGTGGAGTGATTTTGTCCTCATGGGACATACAGTAAAGTTTGGAGATGCTTTGTGTTGAAACAATGTGGGGTGGGGGTACTACTGGCATCTCATGGTGGAGGTCCAGAGATGCTATTCCACATGTGCCCAGGTCAGCCCCCGACCCCACCCCAAACTAGAATTATCTAACCCCAAATGTCAAGGGTGCCAAGGATGAGAAACTCTGTGTTAGATGTTGTTATTATTACTATGACTAATAAACAGCCGGACTGCTCTGCCTGGCCAGCGAAAACTAGTCATTCACTGATTCGCTAGTTCATTCAATATTCACTGAGTACTTTTCAGGTGCCCAGAGAGGAGTTCAAATGGTGGGCATTCAGCTGTGAATGAAACAGACCAAACTCTGCGGTCTGGGACTGACCATCCAGTGGGGAGAACAGTCAATGCACAAATAAAACACAAAGTTCTAGATTGTGCTATAAAGAAAAATTAAGCAGGAAAAGGTGGGTAAGAAATGGCTACAGGATGGTTTGCCATTTAGAGAGGGAAACCTTCCCCGAAAAGTGATCATCACTTCAGGACAAAGATCTGAAAAGGGTAAGGAAGTGAGCAATGTGGGTGTCTGGGAGAAGGATGTATCAGGCACTGAGGGATCCCCACATATGGGTCCCGATCCTGGAGTAGGAGTCCCGTGTCCCTGCAGTCAGGGCCTAAAGCAGTGGATGCTTCTCCACAGTCGGAAGACTGGATGGAAACACCAGATTTGCCTGTTGTGTGATCTTGGGCAAGCAACTCAGCTTCTCTGAGCTTCTGTGTCTTCAGCTGTAAAATAGGGATGGTAACGGTCTCTCCACACCATAGGGCTGTGTGAGCATTAAATGAGATGATGTATGGAAAGGCTATTGGGAAAGTCATGAACAGTTGTATAGTTTGTGCACTGCTCAAAAGCTCCTGGCGTAGGCGGCAAGTGGGGCTAGAATCCCTGTGCGCTGTCACTCCCAAGGAAAGGAAACCTTTTTTGGCTTATCCACTCAGAGGAAAGTATCTTTCTGTGCTTCTTCCACCAGCAGGGCGTGCCATGTTGTCTTTTTAAATAAAGGCGCCCTCCCAGCCTGCCTAGTCCCTTGACAAGAGGCTGTGCTCAAACGCAGGGTAGACTGTAATTATGAGCATTATTGAGGGTGCTGAGTACCTTGTCACTGCTGTGACCTCACCCCAAAGAAAACAAAGCGGGGCCATTCTTGCTTTGGCCTTGGGAGGAGGGGGTGGGCCTGCCTTCTCAAGCCACCTCCATCAATTTAGGCCCAGGGCACCTAGAGGCCTCTCCCTGACAGGTGCAGTCCAAGCAGGCTATTGTCCTGTAAAGGCTCAGCTCCAAGCAGAACTGAGAGGGGAGGACACTTTACTTCCCCTATCCTATCCACTCAGGGGCACCTTTTCTCCGCCCTGGGGGACACACTGCCCACCTTCCCCCAGTATCCCCACAGGCTCCCTTCCAGCCCCTCCCAAGCCTCTCCAGAAGGGGTCTAAAATCTTCCCTTCAAAGATGAATGATTCCCTGAGGGCTGTTTCTCCCAAAGAAATTGTCATTAAGATTCAACAAACATCTTGATTATCTGCTCCCTGCCGGCATAGCGCATGTTCAGAGTCCTCCAAGAGCTGCACTTACTCACTTCAGTCCTGTTGTGCAGCTGGGGGCATCTCAAGGGGTGACCAGCTAACCGGTGGACTTGAAGCCAGGAGCCTGCATCCCCCCTGCCTCTCCCAGGGACACCCCACCTGGCCAGGGGAGGTCCTGGGTCTCCATCTCAAATATACCCAGGGCCAGGATGGTGTGGGAAGTGGGCCTTGTGGGGTGGGGTCTGGGGTGGGGTGGGGGACTGGAGGACCCGCTGCCATCTAGGGGCTCCTGAGGTCCCGGCGGATGGTGGCACAGAGAATGTGGTCCAGGATTTCTAAGAAAAGCTGGAGATCCGGATTTTTTAAAAATGAGAAATCTCCCCATCTTCTAAGGAGGGGGCATCTTCCCGGAATGGGCCTCTCCCCGGGGCCATGCGCGCCCCCAGGACGGTGGCGGTCCGGCAGGTGGCTGGATGCCTGCTCCGCGGCCCCGCTGGCACACGGCACCTCCCCCCGCAGGTCCCCTGGGCGCCCCCGCCCCCCACCCCGGGGCCCGGGGGCCTACCTGGAGGGGGCGGCACGGCCTCCAGGCAGGCGTAGGCACAGCCGTTGTAGCAGCAGCGCCGGTGCCGCGGGCACTCGGAGTCCGCCTGGCATCGCGCAGCCTGGCAGGCGCCGGGGGGCAGCGAACGCGGCGGCGGGGGGCAGCGGTCGGCGCGGGGTTGCCAGGGACCCGCCGCCTCCTCGGCCTGAGGGGACAGCGCGCGTCAGCGGCGGGGACCCGGTCCCGGGGGGGGGCGCTGCCCCGGGCCGCTTGCACCTGTCGTGCCCGTCGGCCCCGCGCCCCTCCTGCTGCAGACGGGCACGCTCGGGTACGCGTGTGCGCAGCGCTGCGTGCACACACACACACACACACACACACACACAGATTCCTCTGTGTATCTCTTACAGTCCGTATGTTTGTGCAGAGCTTTGAGAATTTCCAAATCACACCGAGGATGGATAAATTCACACTTGGGTAAATCTCACAGGATACTCAGCGAGAGAAAAAAGAAAGGCCAGCTCAAAAGAGAACACACGGCGCCATTCCACTTAGACTTAGTTCAGACACAGGCAAAGGTGTTGTCTGTTGTGAGAAGTCAGCGGGGTGAGTCACCCGGTGGATGGCACAGGACCAGGAGGGGGCACGGGGGTCCCTGGGGGCCGGCCCCGTTCTGCTTCCTGACCTGGGTGTCCGTTACACGGTGTTGGGGGCAGCTGGACATGTGATTTTCCCACTTTTTGGTATTAGGTTTCAATAAAAAGTTAAAAATAAGATACAGTATTTAACATACAGGAATTATGGGCACATGAGCAATAAAATAAGCATTTTATTTTTAAAGATTTTATTTATTTATTCATGAGAGACACGGGGGGGAGGGGGAGAGAGGAGAGAGAGAGAGAGAGAGAGAGAGAGAGAAAGGCAGAGGGAGAAGCAGGCTCCATGCAGGGAGCCTGACGTGGGACTCGATCCTGGGTCTCCAGGGGTCTCCAGGGTCACACCCTGAGCTGAAGGCAGCATTAAACCACTGCGCCACTGGGGCTGCCCATAAAATAAGCATTTTAGAGATGAGTTTGGGGAACTCTGTCACACCAGGCAACCCATACTGGGTCCCTCTTCTACTAGGCCCCATCCTTGCTGGGGACATTGTTCTGCTTCTGGATTTGAAAACGGGCTGTGCGGAGGGCAGGCCTTCCACATCCCTACACACGCGCGTGCGCACACACACGCACACACACAGAATAGGTCCATTAGGTGAAAAACACCCTGGCCTGCCCCGCCTCCCGACCTGTGCCTAACCTGCTCCTGTCACCTAAACCCCTATCTACCCCCTGCCCCTGCCCCCCTGCAAATGTTTCCATATTTCAAAATCCTGCCCTCCTGTACAAGTAAATGATGCTTATCTGCAGACTGGAGACTGCAGCCATACAAACCTGCTCTTGGCCCGCTTATGAAAGATCACCAGGATCTTTGGTGGGTTAGGAATATTAAGGTGCAGAACAGCTTGTATGCTACGCACCTAACGATGTTTTAAAACAAGCATATGCACACTCACGTAATATATATAGGGCTTGCCTAGAACATTTTTGGAAGGATGCACTAGAATACACAAGAAACTGTTATCACAGGGATCCCTGGGTGGCGCAGCGGTTTGGCGCCTGCCTTTGGCCCAGGGCGCGATCCTGGAGACCTGGGATCGAATCCCACATTGGGCTCCCGGTGCATGGAGCCTGCTTCTCCCTCTCCCTGTGTCTCTGCCTCTCTCTCTCTCTCTCTCTGTGACTATCATAAATAAAAATTTAAAAAAAAAAGAAACTGTTATCACAAATTGCCCTCAGAGAGGAGCATTCAGTTCTGAAGCCAAGGGGCATTTTTCCTCAATGTATATTCATTTGCCCCGCTTCAATATTATGTTTGCCCTGCACAGGTGGCTCAGATGTTGAGCACCTGCCTTCTGCCCAGGGCGTGATCCTGGAGCCCCGGGATCAAGTCCCACGTTGGGCTCCCTGCATGGAGCCTGCTTCTCACTCTGCCTGTGTCTTTGCCTCTCTCTCTCTGTCTGTCTCTCATGAATAAAAAAATAAAATCTTTAAAAAAAATAATTAACACGCCCTGCAAATACTATGTTTTTTCAATTTAAAGAAGGCAATCAAAAAGAGAAGTATTAGGAAGAATTTTTAATTACAAGAAAAATACTTGTGTTAGTTTAAAAAAAAAAAAGAGCAAGGAACACAATGGCATAGGCCCTCTGACCTCAATGGAGTAAAAAGAAGGAAGGTCAAAGATGTGTCTACATCCTCCCCCAGCTCTAACGTGGCTGCAAAGTCCATGCACTGCCCGCAGTGCCCTGCAGGGGGCGTCGAGTCTCCGAGGACGGGTACCGACCAGGTGCCTCTTGGAACTGGTGCAAGTCCAAGGGCCCCCGGTTTTCAAACTACCTCCCATGGAGCCCCTGGGACTTAGAGGGAGGGCAAGAGAAGGAAGAACCAGTGACCTAGTGGGGCAGGGGCAGCCTGGGGAGCATGGTGCTCATGGCCCCACTCCAGCTTCACTCAGAAAATGCACCTTTTTTTCCCATAGATATGTGTCATTTCATTTGTGAAATGTAAAAATGAACACAAAGCCAACCTTTGGCATAAAAGGAAACGAAGGGTTCAGGAGATTCATGCTTCTCCCCCCAAACAAAGGGGAGACCAGAGCATGGATTTTCAAACTGGTTCAGCCTTTTCACGACCCCCTGCTCAGGTCGGTCCCCGTAATTCCTGTATCATTGTGAATAATTCTCAAGCTGCAAGCAGGGGACATAATCCCACACCATTAGCTCTTAGTTCATTTTCTTCGGAATTAACAAAATTGGACCCATGTTGGGGCCCGGCCATTGTAATCTTAATCAAACCTGACAGCTGCCCCGGCCTCCTTGCGAGGGTGATGAGGCCAGCGTGTACATGGTCAGGAGGCTGTTCGTATGCGAGGCCTCATTTACAGAACTGCCTGGAACCTGCAGATCAGAGGTCAAACACGGTCACTCCCCTCTCCCCGCACTTCCCCCTTCAGCCTCCCAGTCCAGCTTCCCACTTCCGGGGACACCAGGAGGTCCCACCAGGGGGTGTGCGGAGAGATCAATTTTAGATGTGCCACGCTCTCCTCTCCGAGGAGAATTCAAATGTCGTCTCCCAGAATTTGGAGAGAACAAAAGAGATAAGCGCCTTAGAAGTCAAATCTCCTGAGTTATTTACGGTGCAGCCCAAACAACAGATGGTCATGGGTGATAAAGGACTGATTTCACGGAGGGGCCCAGATTAAAGGATTAAATGTTTTGGAAAATATTTCATGTCATGCAAGGTGACGCTCAAAGAGGGTCCTAAAAACATTGTTTCCCGGAGTTCTGAGAAAGAACTGGCTTTTTATCAGAGAGATAAATAGATTGCCCCCCAACCACCTGGCCCCAGCCCAGTCCCCCAGGGTGTCCCAGCCCCTGGAGGACAAAGAGTTAAAGGTCAGATGGAGCTGGCTGGTCCCCCTGCCCTCAGCCCCTGCACTCACCCTCTCCCTTGCTCATTCCTGTTCAGCACTCTTGGCCTCTCTGAGGTCCCTGGAACGGTGCCACCCTGGGCCTTTGCACAGGCTGTGTGTCTCCTGCCTGAGATAGCAGCCTGGCTCCGCCCTCACCTCCCCTGGGGTCTCTTCTAACACAGGCCCTCCCCCTGCTTTACCTAGCTTTGTATCTCTGCCCCTGTGGGAACACTGCGGACCCACCCACTCATCGGAGTTGGTTTCCCCATTCTCCACTGTGCTCTCCTTATGCACTGGGTTTGGTTCCCACCTGTGTCCGGGGCCCCCACAGCAGTGCCTGGTGTGGAGCAGGTGCTCAGCATATTTGCGGTGGGTGAAAGCTGCCATGGTGATGTTGCCGAAGTCGAGCCGACACTTGCTGGCAGTTCGCCAGTCATCTCCCTACGGGCTTCTGTCTTGGGACCGTGTGGTTGGCACTGCTGTCCAGGAGGCCTTCACTGATGGCTGCTGTCCCTTTGTATCCGATCCATGGCGCACCTCTTGCCGAGCATCGGCACCCTCCTCTGGTCACGTGAGGCCAGCAGAGGAAGTCCTATTACTACCCACACTACAGATGAGGCCCCTGAGGCCTGGAGAATGAAAGGCTTGCCCAAGGCCACAGGTGGGGAAGGGTCATGAGCCCAAGTACTCCACCCCTCTCTCCCCAAGCCCAAGGAATGCATCCCAACTATACATCTAGAATCAGGCCTCAATTTCTGAAGGTTTGCTCAGACTCCTTACTCCTCCTGGCCTTGAGGCCTTCCACGCGCTATTCCCTCCGCTTAACTCTCCCCGGCTGCCTCCCCTTCCATTGGGGCAAGAACTTAGGAGCTGCATCTGACCTGCGAGTCTACCAAGATGGATGGGGCTAAGGCCTGCGGCCTCATCAACACTACAGCTGAGTTCAGCAGGGATCTAACTCAGGCTTAGGAACTAGACAAGTCTGGGCTTATTTGGGATTTTTTTTGTTTTTTAGATTTTTTATTTAAATTCAATTTAGTTAACATATAGTGTATTATTAGTTTCAGAGGTAGAATTCAGTGATTCATCAGTTTCATATAACACCCCAGTGTCTTTCCATCACAGGTCCTCCTGAATGCCCATCCCCCAGTTACCCCCTCCCCTCCCCCTCCCCGCCAGCAACTCTCCGTTTGTTTCCTACAGTTAAGAGTCTCTTATGGTTTGTCTCCCTCTCTGCTTCGGTCTTATTTGATTTTTCCTTCCCTTCCCCTCTGTTTTGTTTCTTAAATTCCACATATGAGTGAGATCATATGGTAGTTGTCTCTCTCTGATGGACTTAGCATAATACCCAAATGGCGAGATTTCATTCTTTTTGAAGGCTGAGTAATATCCCATTGTGTATATACCACTGCTTCTTCATCCATTCATCTGTCGATGGATGTCTGGGCTCTTTCTGTAGTTTGGCTCTTGTGGATATGGCTGCTATAAACATCGAGGGGCAGGTGCCCCTTTAAATCACATGTTTGTATCCTTTGAATAAATCCCCAGTAGTGCAATTGCTGGGTGGTAGGGTAGCTCTATTTTTAACTTCTTGAGGAACCTCCACACCGTTTTCCACAGCAGCTGCACCAGTCTGCGTTGCCACCAACGGTGCACGAGGGTTCCCATTTCTCCAAGTCCTCATGAACACCCGTT